GGGGAGGGGCGTGGGGTGCCTGAGGGAGGAGGCAGCGGTGTGGGCTGGACTGCCACCCCATGCTTGGAAGTTGGGGCGGTCTCCCTTCACTGTACCTAAGGCTCTTTTGGAGCGGAAAATGGTCCGTGGTGGGAGCCCTTCACATTCAGGCCAGTGTGACCCTGCTGTGTGGATCCCAGGGGGAACCCAGCAATTCTCCCTATATAACAGGGGTCCACGGCCCCAGCTAACTTCTCCCCAGAACCTGTGTCTGGGTCCTCAGCACCTTCATTCAAGAGGAGTCTGGAGTATAGGTCCCTTCCTCCCTCAGACCTGGGAGTCCAGGTCCTTTCTCATTTCCGAGGAGTGAGGCCAGGACTGACCCCACTTGTGGCTGCTGTTTCTGTCCAGTGCCCCTGAGGCGCTCAGCTGCTGGGTCTGCAGGAAGCTTCGTTATGAATGACCGAAACATCCATAGGTGGACAAGTGAGGAGCCTCCCTTCCCCAACTTGGCCCATCATCCCTGTCCCTCCTTCCCCGGCTGCTGTGGTTGGGGGTGGTGAGAGGCCCTGAGTCATCCCTAGGGGACCACCACGGGCCTCTCCTCTACAGTGAAGAAGGACGAGGAGGCTTTGGAGATCTCCATCCCCTTTGATGAGGCGCAGCGCCTAGACTCACAGATCTTTTACAGCCTCAGCCCCTCCCGGGGGAACTTCGATGGTGAGCTAAGGGCTTGGAGGTTTGGTTAGCTGGGGTGCTGCCCTGTGGTGGTGAGTGACTGGGGACCCTTTCCCCTCCCTGCTGTCCCTAGAGCCTCCAGAGGCTGCATCCCCCACACTGGCCCTAATGAACGGCGTCAAGGCTCAGCTGCACATGGCCTTGGAGAGGAACTCCTGGCTGCAGAAGCGCATTGAGGACCTGGAAGAAGAGAGGGATTTCTTGCGGTGTCAGCTGGACAAGTTCATCTCCTCTGCCCGGATGGACACAGGTGGGGGGCACTGACACAGTTGCCCCCAATCCGTCCCACCCACAGGCTGAGGCCCCACTGTGTGGTTGGCTTGGTGGGGTCCTGGCATCTTGGTCCTGTCCGCTAATTTACTGCTCAGCTTCCATCTTGCTTGAAATCCAGGACCTCCCATCCCCTAGGATCTCTTCCTTTCCAGTAGACTGTCCCACACCCCATCAGCCCCCAGCCCCTGTGTCCTAGGGTAATCTGGAACTTGAGTCCAGGTTCCTCTTCCTTTTCCCTAGAGGACCACTGCAGTCCTTTGGGTTCTTCAGGGGACCTTGCCCTGCATCCCAGCTGTCTTTTCAAGCATCCAGGCCTCCAGCCTTCTGTGCCCCAAAGTGACTTGTCTTCCTACCTACCCTGTCCCCTATCTTGGTTAATGCTCCTTCCTCTTCAAAGAGCTTCAACTCTCTGCAAGTGGAGTCAGCCTCTAACCTGGGGACCTTTTTGGTGATCATAGAATCTGTTCTCCCAACCCCCTTCACCTTACTCTGCTGTAATTCATGGCCAGCAGCAGCTTCCCAAGGCCAGTTTGTGGATTGCCCTGTTGGCAATGTTCTGACCACTATTCCAGCCCTTCCCTAGAGAGTCAGGGCTTTCCCTTTGCCAGATCTTGAGCCCATCTTGGAGAACTCAACTCTGTGCATCTCCCAACCTCAACCGGGTTCCTTGTAAACTTCGTAGCTGGTAACTGCCTCCAAAGCCTGGGCAAGGGTCCTGTGGTGTTTGAGGTCTGTTACTAGTGACCGTAGGATTATGGATCTGTACTTTCCTGCCTCTCTACACAGAGGATTTCATCCTGGGTGACTGCCTTGGATGACAGGACTCTCTGGGTCTCGGCTGCTGTCTGGGTATCCTTAGCCAGAAACTTGGTTTTTAGGGGTCTGACACCACCCACCAGGACCAAGGCCTTTTCTGGCTTCTGAGTTTCAATACTCAACACTCTGGAGATTCCTCTGGGTCCCTGGACAGCCCGTTCTCCTCATGGGAACCCCACCACATGGTTAAGATCTGCCTGAAGTCCCGGTCCCCAGACCTCTGGAACAGCCCTCCTCCAGGCCTCCAACTTTAGGAGCTTGGGAAAGGGGTCCACCCATGCCCACCTCCTCTTAAGTTCAGCTGGCCTACTCTACTCAGCATTGTCACCACCATGTGCAATGCACTCCTTGACTTTCTGTCTTGGTGGGGGCACCCTGGTTGGGGGCGTCCAGTCTCTCACTGTGGGATATGATCTCCAGGGGCTCAGGCCCTTTCTCTTTCCCCTGGGACCAGTGATGTGAGGTCTGCAGTCCCAGTTCATGTGTCTCTGTCTCCCCAGAGGACCACTGCCGGGTGAAGCCTGGGCCCCGGAGGGTTGAGGGGGACAGCAGGGCTGGTGGTGAGGCCTCAGACCCTGAATCACCAGCCTCCTCACTCAGCGGGGTGTCTGAAGAAGGCAGTGCGGGCGAGAGGAAGAGGCGGAACCAGAAGGGAAATGCAGGCCGGAGACGCTTCGGGAAGCCCAAGGCTCGGGAGAGACAGCGGGGTGAGCAGGATGCAGGTGTCCTAGAGGTCTGGGCCCCAGACTTGCGCTGTGACTTCCGCAGAGCCCCGACCTAGCTAGCCTCTCCGTGTGTAAAAAGACCAGACCTGGGTGCATCCCGCAGCCTTCTCCCCAACTTCATGACCTTGGTGTCTTCCTCAGAAAGAGGAGGGCCTTCCTCATAGGGTGCTCAAAAGCGGATTTACTTAAGTGGGAGGGGTGTGGGCGGGTCTGGGAATGCATGGCTGACAGCCCTCTCCGCTTCTGTCTCTGGCCTGCCCTCTCCAACTTCCCCCTGGCCCAACCTTCTCCCGTGCGCTCCCTTCCTCCTGCTTTCTGTGCTCCCTGTCTTTCTCCACTGCCCTCACCTGCTCTGCCTTCTTGATCTTCTCTTCCCTGCCTCCATTTCCTTTCCTGTGTGTCCCTCACCCCTTCCCATGTCCGCCCTCCTGTTTCCTATTCCGCTTTCCCTATATTTCTCTCTGTCCCTGTCCGTTTGTCTGCCCTCCTTGGCTTCGCAGTGAAGGACGCTGATGGGGTTCTCTGCCGCTATAAGAAGATCCTGGGTACCTTCCAGAAGCTAAAGAGCATGTCGAGGGCCTTCGAGCACCACCGCGTGGACCGTAACACAGTGGCGCTGACCACGCCCATCGCAGAGCTGCTCATCGTGGCCCCGGAGAAGCTGGCCGAGGTGGGCGAGTTCGACCCGTCCAAGGAGCGCCTGCTTGAGTACTCGCGCCGCTGCTTCCTGGCACTGGACGACGAGACGCTCAAGAAGGTTCAGGCCCTCAAGAAGAGCAAGCTGTTGCTGCCCATTACTTACCGCTTCAAGCGGTGATGCCCGGCTCGCGCGGCCCTCCTGCCGCCCCACCCCACCCCACCCCACCTGCGGCGGCCCGCTCCCCCAGGGCTGCCACCGCACTCCACGGAGTCAGAGTTATCCAGAGAATTTAAATTAAAGAAACGTAAAAAATTTGGAATAAACTGGGCCCAGCTCTTCTTAGGAGGGGGGCGACCGTTACCACGGAGACGGGGACGGCCAGGCGGAGCCGGGAGGTTGGGGAGGACAGGGTGTAATTAGCCCCGGAGACGTAGGAGTGGAGGGCAGGAGCTGTTGCTCAAGAAACTCGAAGGATCAGGCTCCAGAAAATAGGCGAAACACGGACCCCTGGGCTACCTGGGCAGATGTGCGGCGGGAGCGGCCACCTGGGGGACCGGGATGTGTGGGTTTATACTGCTGCCAGTCCGCGAGGGGGCAGCATGCGAATTGGTCCTTCTCCCGGAAGTGGCATTTCCACTGTCTCCCGCGCTTCCGCGGAGAGGTGCTCACGCGCTAGCTAAGGCACCGAGGAGAGGGATGTCTAGCTTAACGGTCGGGAATTCAGCACTTTTATTCTGGGAGTGGGAGGGTAAAAAACCTCGCGCATGCGCACTGTGGATCTTGGAACCCGTCTCGCTTTCGGAGCAGCCAGAAATCTCACCTCAGACGGATTTCTACGCAGGCGCAGACGCCTGTCTCGCCCCCACCGCCTCTACCACCGTGCGCAGGCGCAGAAAGGCGCCCTGGCAACCTCCGCAGCGGCCGCGCGTTCCTTTCACCTGGCTGGCTGCTTTTGTCTCGCGCTCCTACTCAAAGCCCCGCTGAGGTTGCGCTTTCTTTTCTTCTGCTCTCCCCACAGGGAGAGCCAGGTGCCGAGAGCCGGGACCCCGCCCCCTTTTCTGCAATCCCTTCCCAGCCCTACTCGTCTCCGTCCTCCTTCCCCTTTTCGATTCTCGACGCCGGAAGGAGCCGAAGTGACGACGGAAAAAGCCGAAGGTGTTTCCCGAGAGTGAGACCTTCCCGAAGCGGTCGGAAGGAGCCGAAGTTCTCCGGAAGGGGAGGAGCGAGCGAGTAGAACCTCCGGAAAGAGCCGAAGCTTGAAATCGAGTTTAATTTCTGTAGGGGCCCGTGGGCGAGCGCCGGAAACCTTCGGAAAGGGCCGAAGTCTGGGACGGTTAGGATTGTCGGAAGTGACCGACCGCTTGGACAGAGTCGGCGAAAAAGATCGGGGTGAATCTTCGGACAAAGCCAAAGACTGAGACGGTTTGAATTGTTGGAAGAAGCCGAATTTTTAGAGGGGACTGGGCGCTGAGGAAACCGAGACCCACAGAAACCTCCGAATGTTGAGACCCTAATCTCCGAAAAGTTACCGAAACCTAGGAAGCGGGAGAACTGTCGCTTCGGGTGTTTTCGGAAGTGGCCGAAGCCGCTGCCAGCCTATCCTTTGATCTGCAGTCCGGAAATAGCCGACGCGTTTCGGAGCCAGGCTCGGTGGAGAGGGGCAGC